ATGTAGACCAATCAATTGGTTGAAAGAACAGACGACTTTCGGTCGACCAAGATATGTTTTAGTCGGGGACAGCCCTATTAGGAATAGTAGGCTATCTTACATAAGTCTGCAAATGCTATGATGCATGGAATGCTTTATTATAAAGGTGCATTTCTATGGTGAAAATGTGCTTCCCCAAACTTAACTCAGGCGCCGCCTATGCATAGGCTAGTGACTTTGCATCCTCAATCTTTGCATGTTCAGTTGAGATTCATTACCATAATCTAAATGCGATTTCTGTCATTCTGAGCACCATGGGTGGACGCCCTAATCAGGTTATGCACCCAATGCATGTGGGTCCGGAAATTTTCTCAAATGTCCGGTAAATTAAAATGCTGCCGGTCAAATGTCTAGCGCCACATTTTTATAACTGAAACCCTGCCTGACCTTATAGTGCCATTTAGCTCAAGTATGGAACAATGGGAAGTTGGGAGCCCAGAAACATACACTGTGTTACTGTGTAGTGCCAGAGGCATCCCTTGAACTTATCTGCACACTGTTAAGCCAGTTTTCCTGGTTTGCATACACAGTAGGTCTACTGTTACTGTACAGTACTGATCAGATGTGCCTTGACATTTTTTCTATGTGCAGGACTGGTTCCCTCTGGACAATGCAACAGAGCGGACAGTCTATTATTTATTCTATCAAACCAGTGACAGCTGCGAGCGAGCTTGTCAAACAGAAGCATTGTCTCCGGCCAAGCGGCAAGCCAGTTGAGGCATATAGATATATATATATACACACACACACACTGTATGTGTGTGCTTATTATAAACCATTTGATAACAGGTGTCACAAGGAGAAACTTGTGTAGGCTATTCACTAAAGCACCACCATGAAGAACCGGATACCCATTCTTGGAGGAATTAAGGTAAGCTTGCCCGTCAGGTAGGTACGAGAGAACAGTGTCTGGAGCTTCAATGAAAACACTCCCCAAATGCCATTCAACAGCCTTGGAGACAGGCTGCTGCGGCTACAGCTTCATGATCATTAACAGGTATTTTGAACCCTGGAGAGAATGTGCCATTTCACTTGGGGCCAATGCCCAAGACAGCCTTTACACCTGTAGGTGTAACTTCTACTCTGCAGTCATCCTGTGGGGACAGAGATTGGCATCCTCCCCTTTGGCCAACCTTGGAAAGTGATCACCAGCAATGAATAACACAACAAATTCAGTGACGGCGCACAGCACTGTAATACACAGTGCATTGATCAAGTCTCTTGTACAAGCAAATTGATCCCAGACATCACATATTTTGTTTGAATAATTGATTTGCCTAAACCCATGCCCTTGGAGTTGGCACTTGAATGCTGGAGTAAATGTTTTATGATAGTTATGTGAAATGACAACAAACCTCAAAAGCAATGCGTTAAGTAAGACCACCTTTGTAGTTTAGAGGAACCTGATGATTTTGGCTTACTCACAGCAATTTTGGCTTACTCACAGCAATTACCTAAATACATACAAATGTCAAATGGAAAAGGCTTGCCGTTAGTCATAGGACCAGGCCGGAGATCTTGTGACCCTGATTAAAGTCAGACAACTTGCCAGTCACAGCACACAAGCTTTAAAATGGCTTATTTACCTCAAATAAATCTAGTGTCATTCCAGATTAATTTAGATAACAAAACAATCTATGAATGTTGTACAGAATTATAATGAGTTTTAACCTTGAACATCACCTAGCCTACATGTCAACTAGCTAACGTTAGTTAGGCTTGCTGAACTCCAGGCGCTGGCAGCGACTTGTGGCTGTGCTGCTACACTCCCCCCCCCCCCCCCCCCCACACCACACACGCACACACGCACACACACACACACACACACACACACACACACACACACACACACACGAGTCCAAACTAGATAGTTAGCCAGCCATTAGCTAACCTGCCAACTTCTCTGGTGTGGTGAGAAATTACCACTAACTCATAGCTAACAACAAAACCACCACTACCAAAATAAGAAGAATGTTCAAACTTTCTGAAAAGTAGGACCTTATGAGTGTTAACACAAAGCTACAATACTTTCTACAAATAATTTTGCTAGCTACCCCTCCCTCTTGCGCATCTTTTCCGTGGCATGCTGTCTGTCGCACGTAGTTAGCAAACGCTAGCCATTTGCAGTCCTCTTTGAACATTTACAAATGTTACATTTAGCTAATGTAGGGGATTCTAGTACACAACAAAACCAAAGCATAGTACACAACAAAACCAAAGCAGAGAAAATAGCATGTGAAAGACGGATATACCTGAAATTTCGACGAGGCTGAGTTTTCCTGCGTTAAATCAGAACAGAAGTATCTGCCGGTTGTAAGTACCGCAACAGCTCAATTTCTGCGGGCTGGGAGAACAGGGGCGTATTCATTACGGAAACTGTTTCCCAATTAAGAACCAACGAAAGCAAACAGAGTAAAACGAGTTTCTATTTGACAAATTCAAGTAGATCCCTTCCCATTTCGTTCCATTAGCTTCCGTTTAAGAAACTTTTGCAGCATAATCGCCGTAATGAATACACCCCAGGAAATGTGACGGGATGCCAGAGATGTGACGTCAGCATCCACCAAAAAGTCCACATTGTTGTTTGACTGTTAGCAACTGCTTTATGGAAATTCATTTTCTTTTACATAAAAAAAAATATATATATATAAAGCAGACTGTGTGGTTAAATTCTAATGATTAAAAAAATATGAAAATATCATAGGTCTATCATGATCAAAAATCATATAATCAGTCAAAAAGACATTGTGGTTTCATTCCATATCAGTCAATTAAATCCAAAATACTTTACTTGATACCAACAGAGAAAGCATTTACATTGCAGCACAAAATTAGAGCATAAGCCTGTACTAGAATGGATGTGACAGTAATAAGTGTTGCAATTAACTGAGCACTTAAGCCTATGTTTACACAGGCAGCCCAGTTCTGGGGTGCGTTCAGTTCGATTGAATGTTTGCTACTTTGCGTAACGGTTTGTACTGAACGACACGTTTCCCCAAAACGTTCTTGAACAGACTGAGTGAGGTATGTCTACTCATATAATATATAATATAATATGCCATTTAGCAGACTACTCAGTTTGAAGCAATACGTGATGTATTTGAAAGGGCAGCAGTGCATTTTCAACAGGTCGTTCAGAACAGCACCGTTTCTGTGCCACTAAATCTTCGTTCTGAACGCAGCCCTAAACTTTTGACCAATCATATCAGCTATTTGGCCAATAATTGGGCAAAAGATCAGAGGGGTATACTACAAAGCAGGATCAATGAGTTAACCAGCTGACTTTGATTAAAAAATATATATTTCTTTTGATTTTATGGTTAATTAAAAAAGCTAAACTTCTGTGTTTTTGGTTGTTGAGTCAATTAGAGCATGCCCATTTCAAGCTTATCCTTCCAAAAAATAAGACGTTATTACAGGAAATATTTAGGCAGCCTTAGAAAATCCAGGTCGAGAGCCCTGTGGGGATGGGATGAGATTTGACACCCCTAATCCTGCCTGGGAGTGTTCCATTTCCATTTGGTTTTAGGTCCACACGCAGTTTGTCCTGATGTGGTAAAAGGTTGATTTTTCCTGATGTCCCACAGCTGTGTGTAATCTGGCTATAATCTGTTATGCAATTAAAACGTTTTGCCAGGACTTCACCCACCCCTGGCTTTAGGCTCACTATCCCACCGGAGTCCTGCCTAAATTGTTGGCTGCTGCCCATTACAAATTACAACCTAGGACATTACAAGGCAAACAAAACCGACAGTGGGGAAAAAAAAGACTGTAGCAGACTCCAGAAACATGTAGACTGCAGCAGAGCATTTTGGGATGATTTGTAAATACTTAGTCGCATAACATTGGTAAACAGGATATGTTACTCCTTTTAGGTTTGTACAAATATGTCACAGATATTGTGAAGGCTTGTTTGTTTGTTTTTTACACACAGAACAAAAATATAAAAATGCAACATTTTCAAAGATGTACATTTTAGTCATTTAGATTTACAGGAGCAATTAGGGTTTTTGGGTTCTTCACATAGTCGGTCAGGCATTCGAACAAGCAACCTTGTGGTTACTGGCCCAACACTCTTAACTACTAGGCTACCTGAGTTACAATTCATATAAAGAAATCAGTCAATTGAAATAAATGTATTAGGCCCTAATCTATGGATTTCACATGCCTGGGCATACAGATATGCATCTGTTGGTCACAGAAACCATTAAACGTATTCAGCGTGCCAGTGCCCATCAAAGGTGAGCATTTGCCCACCGTTGTCGGTTACGACGCCGAACTGCAGTCAGGTCAAGACCCTGGTGAGGACGACGAGCACACAGATGAGCTTCCCTGAGACGGTTTCTGACAGTTTGTGCAGACATTCTTTGGTTGTGCAAACCCACCGTTTCATCAGCTGTCCGGGTGGCTGGTCTCAAGACGATCCCGCAGGTGAATAAGCCGGATGAGGAGGTCTTGGGCTGGCGTGGTTACACGTGGTCTACGGTTGTGAGGCCGGTTGGACGTTCTGCCAAATTGTCTAAAACACCGTTGGAGGCTGCTTATGGTAGAGAAATTAACATTCAGCTCTGGTGGACATTCCTGCAGTCAGAATGCCAATTGCATGCACCCTCAAAACATGAGACATGGCAAAGAAGAAATGCTCACTAACATCGATGTAAACAAACTTGTGCACAAAATTTGAGCGTAATCAACTTTTTGTGCATATGGAACATTTCTGGGATCTTTCATTTCAGCTCATGAAAACATGGACCAGGATATGTGACCATTCCCAATGGCAATATGTCGTATGACCACAGATGACATGTATGTATGTGTGCAATGCAAGTGTGTGAGTGTTAAACCAGATTAACCTACATCCAACGGAGTCCACAGAATGTTGTCTTTCTGCCTCAAGCATCACTGTCAAAACTAAAGAACAGACAGAAACTAAAGAACAGGACATCAGATGTTTGTATAATGCTGCCATCTAGTGTATATATATAGCACTGGCCTTTAATATCAGTAGTAATAGCTGGAAAGTAAATTCAAGAAAACTATGTTTATTTGTTGTGATGTTTATTCCAATTACATCATGAGTGCTTTGCTTGGATAGTTGATGTGATTGAGAACACATCTGTCGGCCCCATTTTCATCTGGTTTGGCCATTGTCTGTCTAACACAATGCCAGACAGATACCAGAACCCAGTCGGAAGTTTTCAGAAAACACACAACCATGCCTCATCTTAAGGCGTTAGCTCTCTTCACCGTGTCTTGTGGTCCCCTAGTTCGCACACAGGGATCCGCGTCTGAAACCGAAATATTTTTTTTCTTCCAGTTAGTAAAACCCATATAAAAAAATCAATACATTTCAATATATTTAACGTCACGTAAACATATTTCAAATACATGTAGATACATTTGCATCTTTGCTGAAATGCATGTAATGCCTTACAATATTCCAGAAATGGATGGCTATGACATCTAGTCAAAGTGGTTCCTAATTCGGCTTCTGAAATTACTCTTTATGTATTGATCAATGGAGAAATGTTTTTGGGCAACCAAGCAAAAACTTTGGCAGTGATATAATTTAATCTGTCATAGTGAGTCAAAAACAAACGCTTCAATATACAATATGTCAAAGTGTAGGTCTAGGTCTTGTGCTTGTGCTTACAAGGTCTAGGTGTAGGTCTAGGTCTTGTGATTCCAATGAGTGGTATTATACAGCTCTATAGTGGATGGTTGCGGTGTTATGGTGCATTCATGGCTCTACAGTGGATGGTTAGCGGTGTTATGGTGCATTCATGGCTCTACAGTGGATGGTTAGCGGTGTTATGGTGCATTCATAGCCAAGTGGGAAATGGGAATTTATCGCATCTGGGAAAATCCACTTGAATGGCCCTCTAACTGGTAATTACTAGAAATCAGCCATGAATTCCCTTGTGACCGGGGGAATGGAAGCTTGTTTGATCAACAGGAAGTAAACAGCATAGTGGGTCAATTTCCACAACAACTAAGAGTGTTGAAGCGCGAGGCTCAACTTCTACGCTCTTTTGGTTCCCTGGCTACCCCACTGTAAAAAAAATTGAAGCGAACCGAGTGGCGCAGTGGTCTAAGGCACTGCATCGCAGTGCTAACTGTGCCACTAGAGATCCTGGTTTGAATCCAGGCTCTGTCGCAGCCGGCCGCGACCGGGAGACTCATGGGCGGCGCACAATTGGCCCAGCGTCGTCCAGGGTAGGGGAGGGAATGGCCGGCAGGGATGTAGCTCAGTTGATAGAGCATGGCGTTTGCAATGCCAGGGTTGTGGGTTTGATTCCCACGGGGGGTATAAAAAAAATATGTATTCACTAACTGTAAGTCGCTCTGGATAAGAGCGTGCATCTCGCTCATCTCAATATATGCGATGCTGCTCATGGCAACATCATTTAGCTGAGTCTACCTTTAACATAAGGCACTCATTTTGTGGAATGACCCAGTACCCTTTGGTTCCAATGCTCTAGTCAAGTTCGTTTGTCTATTTGTCATATGTACATGAAAGATGGAGTCACTACATGACCGATAATGTATTATGATTGTAGTCGTTTAAATGCATGTTTGTGCTTTTGGTAGTTGTCAAGTAAAAAAATAAATAAAGCTTTTTGACTAAATATATTGTAGCAGCAGCAGCCTTTTAGAAGACTTGGAGGCGTGGCTTGTTGGGGCGTGGCTTTGTCTTAGTGCTTTTTGGCCTCTCATGAGCCAGTTAATGTGTTATGTTGTGTTCCTTTATTAAAGGTTAAGCTTGTACACTGCCAGTTCTGCAGTCTTCATGAGACTAACATAAATGCATGTGATACCAAAGACCCTACTGTTTTGTTAAGACAGGTCGCTATTTTATTTCAATAGGATTTGCCCAATTTTTTATATTATACATTTAAATAAAACAAAATTGCTGTATTTCTCGATTAACAATTTCGCCAGATCACTTCCACTTCTTTGTTTCTGTCTGATCATTCAGACTGCTGCTGCCTCCTGTTAGCCTGCTACTTTGATAAATCAAATGGCAAGGACGTTTGTTATCAAGCAATCAATGTGCATACCATCTAACAAGCGGGGCGAGGGTAGGGGAAAAATATGAATCGCCGACGCGCATTTTGACTGATAGCAAACTTGTCTGCCCACTGCAAATTCAGGGGACACAGACACAGACACAGGTCTGACACACACATCCCTCAGTGGTACCTAATCTGCAGCTTGTTTGGTTTATAAACGTGCAGTGAGATAGGTATTTTGCCAACATCTAGTTAGGCATATTAAAACATTTAATTTTTTTCCGACCACGAGTATCATCCGATCCGACTATCAATTGCCAATTTACGGATACGATTACGAGTATGGCCATGTCGGCACACACCTAATTTCAATGCATGTTGGAACATTTTTGAAATGCATTAAATACATTTCCCGATGCATTTAACATATTGTGATATACATTTTACGTGATATGTTGGAATGTATTTAAAATGTATTAAATATATTTGAAATATTTCACATGTATCCTAAATAATGTAGCTAAAAATATATTATAATTTTTTCTAATTTTTTTCGTATGGGAACATCTGACAGACCCACATGCAACAATCACAGCTGTTTGTGAGGATTAGAGATGCTCTCACCCATGGGGTTGGCAGTGGAGCCCGCTGGCACAGAGGCAGTATTCCCTCGGGCCCTCCACGTCCCAGGACAGCATGTCCATCAGCAGGTTAGGGTGGCTGTTGCACGCTTCACCCTTCTCCAGCCTGGGCTGGCACACTGGGAAGAGTAGCTCTGCAACCACCATGAGAAGGACAGGGAGAGAGGTGGGGAAGCAGAGGAGAAAATGAGAGATGAGGATGGTAAGAGGGGGTTAAGGGGTGAAGAAAGCAGATTAGACAGGGGAGGGAAATGCATGAACCTCATAGGAAAGAATGAAGGGGGTACAGGCTGGGCTCTAATTTGCGACAGTTTTGGTCGCATATGCTCCTAAATATTTAGCGGTGCCGTGCTGATTTGGTAGCACCAGTGCGCCTAGAAAAATATTCGCCCAGATAATATATTAGATGGCAAAATGATATTTGTGTCATTGGGAGCAAGCAAAGTTGTTACATTTGTGTTTCATGTCTGGTACAAATAAGCGCCATAAGTGGCCACTAGGGGGCCCACCGCCCAAAATAAATAATTTTCGAAATGTGGTAGTGCATCAGCAGTTTTACTTTTGTTACGTCAGTCACTGTCAGTCATTCAATTAGCCCATGTCAGCTAACATTTTTAGATAGCTGGCTAGACTAATTTACCTAGCAATCTAAACCTTTTATTAATCATGGCCTAATTACCGACCAGGCACCCAGGGCACTTGCCCAGGTGCCCTGACCTGCAGGGGGCCCCCATTGATTTTGTTAGTCACTCTCACCCAGATATCATATGAACATGGCATTAGTCATGGAAAAAGGTGTAGAATTGTAGGAAATTAGCTATAAAACGGCAAGATTTTCTCTACTCATGGCAAAATGTGTAGAACTGCAGGAACATTTACTTACATCTTTCTCCATCGCCAGGACAACTCATCACAAGAAGAAAAAATGGTCACACAGAATGGCTAAGGTGGAGACGAGGGTGGCTATTATCCTGTGTTTTAGCAGACACTACATTTTTTCTTTCTATCGCGAATTCGCGGTACACATTTGATAATTTAATCAACCATATCGCTGGCCGTTTAAACTACTATTGGCCACTAGCCATTTGTTTGATAACAAAACAACCTTGTCCAGTCATGTTACCCATCTGGCTAACAACCTGGTAACTTTACCAGTATGGTTTAAAATGGCACTGGAAGAAAGGAAGGGGACTGGATAGCTACCTCAGGATTACCTCTGCGATGATACATCCATTTTGGGACTTTTAAATTAATTATATATAATCATTGATTCTTGAAGAATATAACTTATAAATGTCTCATGAGTTTAGTTAAAGGCCCAGTGCAGTCAAAATTCGTTTTTTCCTGTGTTTTGTGTCATTTCCTGATAGTTGCTGGTTTAAAATACAATCTAGACAGAACCTTGTAATCAAGCAGGTTTGCATGGGCAGGAGATTAGGCTTGCCTGGTGATAACACCAGGCGGTGAATTGGTTAATACACCAATAACAAAAGAGTTCCAAACCAATCTGCCAATAACAGCTAGTTTTCAGTTTTCCACTCCCCACTCAGACCACTCCCAGACAGTCCTAGCAAAATTATTGCTTGAGAAATGGTTCTCTAAAAAGCCATTTTTGTCCATTGTAATGGAAAACTATTACAGTAAGGTACTTAATTGTTACCCAGAAATGATTTGATATTGATCTAAAAACAGCTGCATGTCTTACCCCATCTGAGCTCAAAATATAAGCTTGTTTTACTCCAATGTTTGTAAACAATGTAATTGTAAACAAACACTGTATAGCCTCAAAACATGGACAAAACTATACTTTTTATCTCATGGATGGTCAGTCCTTGATTCCATAGCTCTGTCTATAAATTTGAGAGTGGTTAAATTTCCCCAGCACAATCCCTCAGCTTTGTACTAAAACAATGGCGAGGTGGACATTGGTTATTGTTTGAACTGCAGATTGCCCCTTTAAAGGCCAAGTGCAGTCAGAAATGTGATTTTCCAGTGAGATATATATATATATATATATACATACACACATACATACAAAGTACCAGTCAAACGTTTGGACACACCTACTCATTCAAGGGTTTTTCTTTATTTTTACATTGTAGAATAATAGCGAAGACATCAAAACTATGAAATAACACATATGGAATCATGTAGTAACCAAAGAAGTGTTAAACAAACCAAAATATATTTTATATTTGAGATTCTTCAAATACTCACCCTTTGCCTTGATGACAGCTTAGCACACTCTTGGCATTCTCTCAACCAGCTTCATGAGATAGTCACCTGGAATGCATTTCAATTAACAGGTGCCTTCTTAAAAGTTAATTTGTGGAATTTCTTTCCTTCTTAATGCGTTTGAGCCAATCAGTTGTGTTGTGACAAGGTAGGGGTGGTATACAGAAGATAGCCCTATTTTGTAAAAGACCAAGTCCATATTATGGCAAGAACAGCTCAAATAAGCAAAGAAAAACAACAGCCCATCATTACTTTAAGACATGAAAGTCAGTCAATACGGAACATTTCAAGAACTTTGAAAGTTTCTTCAAGTGCAGTCGCAAAAACCATCAAGCGCTATGATGAAACTGGCTCTCATGAGGACCGCCACAGGAATGGAAGACCCAGAGTTACCTCTGCTGCAGAGGAGAAGTTCATTAGAGTTAACAGCCTCAGAAATTGCAGCCCAAATAAATACTTCACAGAGTTCAAGTAACAGACACATCTCAACATCAACTGTTCAGAGGAGACTGTGTGAATCAGGCCTTCATGGTCAAATTGCTGCAAAGAAACCACTACTAAAGGACACCAATAAGAAGAAGAGACTTGCTTGGGCCAAGAAACACGAGCAATGGACATTAGACCGGTGGAAATTGGAGAGTCAACATTTGAGATTTTTGGTTCCAACCGCCGTGGCTTTGTGAGACGCGGTGTGGGTGAACGGATGATCTCCGCATGTGTATTTCCCACCGTAAAGCATGGAGGAGGAGGTGTTATGGTGTGGGTATGCTTTGCTGCTGACACTGTCTGTGATTTATTTAGAATTCAAGGCACACTTAACCAGCATGGCTACCACAGCATTCTGCAGTGATACGCCATCCCATCTGGTTTGGGCTTAGTGGGACTATCATTTGTTTTTCAACAGGACAAGTGCTGCATCAGATGACCTGGCCTCCACAATCCCCCGACCTCAACCCAATTGAGATGGTTTGGGATGAGTCGGACCGCAGAGTGAAGGAAAAGCAGCCAACAAGTGCCCAGCATATGTGGGAACTCCTTCAAGACTGTTGGAAAATCATTCCAGGTGAAGCTGGTTGAGAGAATGCCAAGAGTGTGCAAAGCTGTCATCAAGGCAAAGGGTGGCTATTTGAAGAATTTCAAATATATTTTGATTTGTTTAACACTTTCTTGGTTACTACATGATTCCATTTGTGTTATTTCATAGTTATGATGTCTTCACTATTATTCTACAATGTAAAAAATAGTACAAATAAAGAATAACCCTTGAATGAGTAGGTGTCCTAACCTTTAACTGGTAGTGTGTAATATATATTAATTAATAATCTCCACACCATGTCGTTGGAATAATACTGTGAAAATGATAATGCCCTTTTAGTGTAAGAGCTGTTTGAAAAGACCGCCTGAAATTTCAGCCTGTTTTGGTGGGATGGAGATTTTGCCTCACCAGGCGGTAAATTAGTTAATAGACCAATAAGAACGTTTTCAGTTTCCCCCCTCCCTACTCAGACCACTCCCAGACAGTCCTAGCTAAATTCTTGCTTGAGAAATTGCTCTTTGCTAATAAGCCATGTTTCTTTTTGACCATTTTAAACTGAAAACAAATCATATTAAGGTACTTCATTGTTACCCAGAAATCATTTGATATTGAGATTAAAACGGCTGCATTGGACTTTAAAAAATTTGGATTAATATACTGTGGCCTCTCTTTCTGGTACTCCTATAGAGTTTGGAGTCCTAACTTTTTTAAAGGTGGGAGCACCAGTGCTACCAATGAAAAGGTTAATTTAGAAACATGGGTACAGGGGAGAAAGAGGACCAGTAAGTAACGTACTTTAACACAAACCAAACAATACCTTGAACAGATAGCTTATTGGGCACTGAATGTGTGTTTGACCATATACCTTTGAGGACGGCACAGCAGTGCTTTGGCTTACAGTCACTCTGGTACTGACAGATGCTGCCTGCATTGCCCTTGGTGGCATTCTCAGTACACTGTCCCCACACACACATCTGGTCTGAACAACACTCTTCATCCTTTGTGCAAGTCTGAAAACACACACACACACGTTAGTATTTACATTTACGTCATTTAGCAGACGCTCTTATCCAGAGTGACTTACAAATTGGTGCATTCACCTTATGATAGCCAGTGGTAGTTAGTAATAGTCATATTTTTGTGATTGGAACAAGCTGGGAATCAGAGACATAATCTAGACCAGGGATGGCCCTTTTTTAGGCCTGCGGACCAATTTGAAAAATTAAAAATTCTGTCGGGGTCTCAACTTACTGTTGGGAGTTAGAATAATAGAATACACAAGGTGCAATTTCGAAATGTGGTTGTGCATCAGTAGTCGCTCGATTAGCCCATGTCAGCATTATTTATTTATTTATTGGTAAGTTAGTCTTGCGGCCAGCTATCTAAACTTGGAGTAAGCATGGTCAAATTACTGACCGGGGTGGGGCCTATTGATCATTAGTTATCATATTAAAAACTTCAAACATTTGCCTCCGCCCTATGGCGAAATGTGTAGAATTGCAGGAAATTAGCTGTAAAACTGAGTAGAATTGCATGATGTGGGTGTATGGACGTGGGTACGCAGACCCACAAGCCACTGCGGACCCTCATGAGGAGTTCCGTTTTTTTGTGGCCCCCATCCCCATCGAAGATGCCCATCCCTGATCTAGACCTCAAGAACATCTGGAGTGTCATCACAAGTACACAACTAACTTGGGTTCATTGGGTTTGTTTATATCCCTTTCATTTCCATTTCTCAACTCAATGGAAGGCTGAATATTGACTCAGGATTGGGAAGAAAATAAGATATTAATCAACAACAACAAAAAGACTCACCATATCAACATCTTTGCAGGGGAGGCACTTGGAGCTCACTATCTCATATAGGCAGTAACTGCTCTTACCACAATCTTCATCAATCATACACTCCTGGTAAGAGAAATCACATTCATAAGACAGGACCAACCAGCATCCACACAACACACTATCCAACCCCCTCCAACGCAGGTATACCCAAATTCCCTGTTCAAGTTTTACTAGTCTGTTCAATTTCAGCTACATTTGTTTTCACACAAATGCTTTGCTCATTAAGGGATGTGCATAGACCTTTACATTGAGTACAGATGGATAGGATGGCTAAATCAGGAAATTCCAGTTAAATGGTGTTCTTGTTACAGACTCTGTGAACAACAACTGACATGAACACTGGCCCTCCTCCATCGGCCTGAGGAAACGGCTTCTGCCAAAATCAGTCATCTAAACCTTGTGATTAACATTTTTATCTCTTCATGCTATGTGGAGTCGGGGAAACTCAGCCAGCTTACAGAAACAACATACTTTATCAGAGAGCTCCCAGGGTCTGTCAGCCTTGAACACTTGGCTACTGAGAATGGAGACCTGACGTGTCTGTGGATATGCCTAACACAGCCTTCTCCCACACCTAGCAACATGAGAATACAGCATTTCACTACACAAACTGTACCCAATTCACTTGCCATGAATAAACATGATTTTATTTTTTATTGTTTTATAACTTTGGCTGTGTGTGGTGTGCTCCATCATTACCTAATTATTTCCATTGTGGGAAGTCAAGATGTGAGCATACTCAGTGTATTATGATGAGTTTTTGTTTAAAATCTATTTTACATTCCATTGAATCACAAAGACATGTACTGTATCAAATAACAGGCAGGATCAAAACACATCCCGCCTTCCATCTCCATAGCAGCCTGGGCTAGTCTAGACAGATGCAGGTTGTGTCACTAACAGCAGTCTGGCAACCATCAACAGTAAGGGTTTCCTTCACGGCGTACCACTCAAATCCATCTCAGCCAACCCCCTAGCTCACATGAAGTAACAACACCTTTCTAGGATATATAGCTTCTTGCTTTCTCATGTTCTTATTTCTATTTCTCGTGTGTTTTTGTTCTACCTCATGTACTTTTTTTGTGATTGATTACTGTATTGTTTGGTTTAGAGCTTGCAAGAAAGGCATTTCACTGTACTTGTGCACATGACATTAAAACTTTAAACATTATAAGAATATCTCTGCAAAAGCTTCAGTAGAAAATGTGGCTTCCCAGTCCGCCAGACGGGATAACTCAGTGTTGGGGGACTGGAGGAGACACTGGGGAAGAAATGCTGCTCACCAACCCTAATACCCTGTAATTCTGTTGATAAATCACAGCTGTTTAGGCATCATGCTGGGCTTCTCTTCATTTTCCCCCACTAAATATTTAACCAAACTCATCACTGTGGAGCAGCACACACAGCGACAAAAATTAAGTAGACCGTTTTTAAAAAGGAAAATGTTTTCCAGCAGGCTACTTTCCATGCATTTTTTCCATGTCTATTAATTCAACCACATTCTGTAATGATGCCAAGAAAGGAAAAAGATCAAAACACTGCCATAAAATCTCCAGTGGTGAAACAGCCTGTGGAATAATGGCTTAATATTGGTGTTCTCATGTTTTTAAACTGTGTAAAGTATATGGCCACCTCTTTAAACTACATTATGATCTCATTCATTTTAAAAGACGCAGACAATCTATTCACACCGTTGTAAAGCATTCTGTCTTTTTAGTTTTCCTGCAGTAGCTGAGAAAAGACTTGGAAAATAACTTTGGTTTGAAACTGGGGCAACAGGATACATTGTTTCAGTCTCAAAACAAATTACTGTACCCAGTTTCCTTCTTCCTTGCATAATGAGCTGTTAGATGAGTGAAAGGTTGACAAAAGAGCAAAGGAAAACAGGCAATGGTAGAAAAGCTGGGTTTAAGTTTCCATTTGTTTTAGAGGAATAGCAATTGACTTAATTATTGTCTTGATTCTCCACCTAAATAAACTTACTTAGCTATATCAAATAGTATCCAAACAATCCATATCATCAGGTTTGGGATCAATTTCACTTCAATTCCAGCATATTCTGGAGATAAAAACTTTGATAAGTGCTTCAATTGACAGAAAAATTCCCATAGAAAATATTAGAACATTTTCTACCATAACTGGAGACTACATAGATTCATCCCAGCCAGAGAGAGGAGATAACCGGGGCTACAACTTAACTATCACCTTTATGGTTTTAATTACCAGACACTTCCTCTAGCATGGGGACGAGGTTATGGAATGAGAGACAAAGAGAGATCACATCTGTGGAGTCATCATGTGACTGACTAATCTGTTTCTTCAACAGTCATACACTGCTATTGCCTCACCTTATTCCATCTGGCTTTAATTCAACATATACAAACATCCTTGTCTGAATACAATAACTGTCATAGGATTGTTCTGATGATCAGACCCCAGCTGTTTGCAGACTTGGAAGCTGAAACACCTCTTACCTCAGAATTGGTTTGCATTAAACTCCCTGCAATCTTTTTTTTCAGCACCTAATATTTCAAAGAAAATATACAATACAAACTCACATGATCAACTTCGTTCCATTGGCCATTGATCCCGATATGGGTCTGGAAGTGAGTCTCCCCTGTTCTGTTGTCCGTTTCCTAGAGGAGAAACCAGATACTTTCCTTGTCAGAAAACCTAAACATGTCATGCCAAAAGAACGAAGGGGCAACCATTGTTGTCTGATCTCCCTCTAGAATATAAAACATCCAGATAAAATGTTCATGTTGATGACTTGTGAAATGCATCCACACATGATCTTGCATCATTACCTCACCCTGTTTGTAGTGCACCTACCTTGTCAATCCTCTCCACTATGTAAACAGTGTGGTTCCTGTCCTCCCTATATGTACTGGTCTCGTTGTGGTAGTTCAGAGGCAAATCCTGTATTTTAAGCAATGATTTGGCACTCTCATTGATCATCTATGAAAAAAAGTGATACACATTAAATTGTGAGCATATCTTGTTTGTTCCACAGTTCATATCTCTGGTTCTATGATTATAGACTAGGCATATGCAAAATACAATTTCAAATCCTTTCATTTATTTCATAGCACTTAAAAGTATAATACAGACATACAGTACATTAATATTTACCAACAACTGATGTGTGGAGGGAAAAACGTACACTACAAGGAAAGCAGGCTACAGGCTATTAGTCAGGTATAATAAAAACACACAATAGCCTGGCTACCCATTGCCACAACGTCAACAGTTTCCCTGTAATGAAAAACGTATTATAAATAGTCTACTATTAAAAAGAATTAAAAGAGAGTTGTAAATAGTCTATTGAATTAGTGTATTATTACATATAGCAGAATGGAACATTTACCTGATCCACAGCCTCCTCCAGTATGTGCTGCGTGTCCTCCATCAACATCTCCACCTCTCGGAACATTTCGTTTAGAGTCGCATGTCCTCGAGTCAAATGGTCCTCGAGACTAACACCAGTGACCGAGATGTCCGGGATGGTCTTCTGGCTCGAGATTCCATTCACTAAACACAAACAAAAAGTAAGCAATGCGACCTGCATCATCCTCGTGGTGGGACCAAGCATACTTGTAACAGCACTCGAAGCACGCACTCGAAGCACAGCTGTTTTATTTGGAAACTCAGAAGGGAAAAAAGAAACCGGAAAAAGAATCATGGTAATTTTAACGGGATCTATGGCAAGTATAAAGTCAAAGTATTGGGATCCAGAATGTATTGTATTATCTAAATGATTTATTGGAAAATGAGGATTCTGATTCTGTTGTTGCTGCTGCTTCTGTTGATGGTGATGATAATTAAAAATGTCCCCTAATCAGCACATTTCCTTACCTTGAGTATATTGTCTTAGCATTTGCCTATTCGTTTGTTCACACAATAACCATACATTCATTATAGGCCCTAGGACTACTATTAAGGATTTATATGGTTAAAATCCAATAGCATATCACTGGCTAAGTAAATATACATTTTGGAAGCAGCACATTTCTGATACTCTTTTCACTTTTTTTATTTTTAATGTAGCATAAAATGCAGAGAGAGTGAAGTTGACGGAGTTGGCTGTGCAAGTAGTGTGGCCATATATACCGTATATATGACAGATTTGCAATAGCACTGTTTGTCCTGTAGATGGCCATGTAGGGCTAATCCTTTTTTCAGAGGCATGCAGTCAAGGGACATACGATCAGTCTGGGATTCCGTGTGAAAATTCAACAACAACAACAACACTTTTTTACACAATCAAATGATCTTTGAGAGTTATTTGATAATTTCTTTTTTACAATATGTTTCCATAGGGCCTGTATTTCAAATGTATGGGATCCATAACTCACTCGTAAGTACTCACAGAGGCCTCTAGGGTCATTGGCCCCCTCTTGAGATGTGCTTATCATACATAGCTCATTGATCATATCTAGGTTCACTTTGCTGTGTGGCTGCTTTGTCAAACTGAAGCCCTAATATGTTACACCTCGATCACACCGACAGCGTCATTGCATTTTGGTACACCAGAAGTACATTCATTTCCAGTGGAACGCTACATTTACCTTGCAGCATTGTGTTGCAGAGGCAGTTGTAGTGCGTTCTGTGTGGTGCATGCGTTGGATTTATCGAACGTATGCATCAAACTGTATGCGTAGACAGCTTGACAGAAATGGTAGCAGAAGGTGAATGTTAAACTTTTGTTGCACACATATCCAGATGGTGCTGCGTACCATTTTGCGCAATGACGCTGTAGGTGTGATCATGGCGTTACTGTGTGAGAAGGAGAAGTTGATATGTCTCTGGAACTCAAGCCCTCCAAGAGGACAGCTGTCACTGGGCAATAAAACACCATGCAATGTGGAGGAGTGCCCTTGAGTGTGTGTGTGTGTGTGTGTTATGTCTGTCCTAATCTCTCATGGGCAGACTACGTAAACATAAATGGTACCGTAGATCTGTCTTTATACTATGGGCACTGATAGCTAATGAGCAGCAATAGGTGCTTGGGTTTTTCGTCCATGATTATTTGGACAAATCATGATTTCTCAGGTGTATACATAACCGCGGGAAGTAGGGGTGCATTCCAGGTGACTACCTCATCAAGCTGGTTGAGAGAATGCCAAGAGTGTGCAAAGCTGTCATCAAGGCAAAGGGTGGCTACTTTGAAGAATCTAAAATCTAAAATATATATTTTTTGGTTACTACATGATTCCATATATGTTATTTCATAGTGTTTATGTCTTCACTATTATTCTACAATGTAGAAAATAGTAAAAAAATATAGAAAAACCCTTGAATGAGTAGGTGTGTCCAAACTTTTGACTGGTACTGTATATTTAAAACTGGACCTTTACTAGTATTAGCAGACCGATATGGACCGATATACTGTAGATGTCTGTAGCCAAGCATCTTTGCGTTTGGCAAAAAGGGTAGTTGTATAATTAAGAACAGTATCTTGCAGGATTCAATAGTTGGAATTGTAAGAGTTGTTGCCCTGTCCCTTTCTCTGCGATTGTCATTCTAATGGAATCCAGAAAGAACAAAACCCTGTCCTCAAACATTTACATCAAAAGGTGCAAAGTTATGGGCAAAGACACAAAACATCCACATCAAATTAAATTTTTTACTTGATCAAATAACATGAAAACAACCACTTTTTGTGCAGTATTAATTTACCAACTTTACAAACCACTTAATGTAAATGTACACTGCTCATGAAAATAAAGGGAACACTTAAACAACACAATGTAACTCCAAGTCAATCACACTTCTGTGAAATCAAACTGTCCACTTAGGAAGCAACACTGATTGACAATAAATTTCACATGCTGTTGTGCAAATGGAATAGACAACAGGTGGAAATTATAGGCAATTAGCAAGACACCCCCAATAAAGAAGTGGTTCTGCAGGTGGTGACCACAGACCACTTCTCAGTTCCTATGCTTCCTGGCTGATGTTTTGGTCACTTTTGAATGCTGGCGGTGCATCCACTCTAGTGGTAGCATGAGACGGAGTCTACAACCCACACAAGTGGCTCAGGTAGTGCAGCTCATCCAGGATGGCACATCAATGCGAGCTGTGGCAAGAAGGTTTGCTGTGTCTGTCAGCGTAGTGTCCAGAGCATGGAGGCGCTACCAGGAGACAGGCCAGTACATCAGGAGACGTGGAGGAGGCCGTAGGAGGGCAACAACCCAGCAGCAGGACCGCTACCTCCGCCTTTGTGCAAGGAGGAGCAGGAGGAGCACTGCCAGAGCCCTGCAAAATGACCTCCAGCAGGCCACAAATGTGCATGTGTCTGCTCAAACGGTCAGAAACAGACTCCATGAGGGTGGTATGAGGGCCCGACGTCCACAGGTGGGGGTTGTGCTTACAGCCCAACACCGTGCAGAACGTTTGGCATTTGCCAGAGAACACCAAGATTGGCAAATTCGCCACTGGCGCCCTGTGCTCTTCACAGATGAAAGCAGGTTCACACTGAGCACATGTGACAGACGTGACAGAGTCTGGAGACGCCGTGGAGAACGTTCTGCTGCCTGCAACATCCTCCAGCATGACCGGTTTGGCGGTGGGTCAGTCATGGTGTGGGGTGGCATTTCTTTGGGGGGCCGCATAGCCCTCCATGTGCTCGCCAGAGGTAGCCTGACTGCCATTAGGTACCGAGATGAGATCCTCAGACCCCTTGTGAGACCATATGCTGGTGCGGTTGGCCCTGGGTTCCTCCTACTGCAAGACAATGCTAGACCTCATGTGGCTGGAGTGTGTCAGCAGTTCCTGCAAGAGGAAGGCATTGATGCTATGGACTGGCCCGCCCATTCCCCAGACCTGAATCCAATTGAGCACATCTGGGACATCATGTCTCGCTCCATCCACCAATGCCACGTTGCACCATAGACTGTCCAGGAGTTGGCGGATGCTTTAGTCCAGGTCTGGGAGGAGATCCCTCAGGAGACCATCCGCCACCTCATCAGGAGCATGCCCAGGCGTTGTAGGGAGGTCATACAGGCACGTGGAGGCCACACACACTACTGAGCCTCATTTTGACTTGTTTTAAGGACATTACATCAAAGTTGGATCAGCCTGTAGTGTGGTTTTCCACTTTAATTTTGAGGGTGACTCCAAATCCAGACCTCCATGGGTTGATACATTTGATTCCCATTGATAATTTTTGTGTGATTTTGTTGTCAGCACATTCAACTATGTAAAGAAAAAAGTATTTAATAAGATTATTTCATTCATTCAGATCTAGGATGTGTTGTTTAAGTGTTCCCTTTATTTTTTTGAGCAGTGTAAATTACTGTATTGTACATAGGCTGGTCATTTAGGTTTGTACCTGTAGACTTTCCATCACCATCAAGAAAAACAAAGCACAATACAGTAATTGAGTACATTGAGACATCAAGTGGTTTGTGATGATATGGCTCAGCATGGCGCTTGCAATGCTAGGGTTGTGGGTTCAATTCCCACGGGGGACCAATACGAAAACGTATGCACTCCTTACTGTAAGTTGCTCTGGATAAGCGTGTCTACTAAAATGTACAAGGAATGAATAGACCATTTCAGTTTCCACATACAAATAAGTTGCATTTGCAAAGTATTTCAAGAAAGGGGAAATTACTACTTTCACCTTTACAAGCAAGTATATATCTTCAGTGCGTGCATTGAGACATCAGGTGGTTTGTGATGATGTGGCTCAGTTGGTAGAGCACGGCCCTTGCAATGCTAGGGATGTAGGTTCGATTCCCACGGGGGACCATTATGAAAAAGTATGAAAATATATGCACTTACTGTAAGTTGCTATGAAGAAGAGCGTCTACTAAAAAGGAATGACTAGACCATTTCAGTTTTCACATAGAAATAAGTTTTAAAGTATTTCAAGAAACTGGAAAACATATATCAAGCAAGTATTTGTATATTCCACAAGTATTAACAAATTAACGTTGATGCATGCAATGTCTGACCTACACTATATAACAAAAGTATGTGGACACCCCTTCAAATTAGTGGATTCGGATATTTCAGCCACACTGTTGCTGACAGGTGTATAGAATTGAGCACACATCCATGCAATCTCCATAGACAAACATTGGCAGTAGAATGGCCATGCTGAAGAGCTCAGTGACCTTCAGCGTGGCACCGTCATAGGATGCCACCTTTCCAACAAGTCAGTTCGTCAAATTTCTGCCCTGCTAGAGCTGCCCCGGTCAACTGTAAGTTCTGTTATTGTGAAGTGGAAACGTCTAGGAGCAACAACGGCTTGGCTGCTAAGTGGTAGGTCACAAAAGCTCACAGAACATGACCGCCGAGTGCTGAAGCGAGTAGCGCATAAAAATAATTTGTCCTCGGTTGCAACACTCACTACCGAGTTCCAAACTGCCTCTGGAAGCAACATCAGCACAAAAACTGTTAGTCTGGAGCTTCATGAAATGGGTTTCCATGGCCGAGCAGCCACACACAAGCCTAAGTTCACCATGCGCAATGCCAAACGTCGGCTAGAGTGGTGTAAAGCTCGCCGCCTTTGGACTCTGGAGCAGTGGAAACGTGTTTTCTGGAGTGATCAATCACGCTTCACCATCTGGCAGTCCGACGGACAAATCTGGGTTTGGCGGATGCCAGGAAAACGCAACCTACCCCGATGCATAGTGCCAACTGTAAAGTTTGG